GTGCTCTCGATCCTAACAGGTCCCTCTTAAATCTTCAATCTAGCAATGATACATAATCCAAAGTTCTTGTACATCAATCTTCATAGAAAATATCAACATAGAAATATGTATGTTCATGTGAGTTCAAAGCTATAGCCATAAAAAGAACATAGAATTCAAGGAGGTATCAATTAGTAACCATTAAATAATCCAAAGTTCTTGTACATCAATCTTCATAGTAGTAAGAGAAAATATGAGTTCAAAGGCCTACTATACATATGAACATAGACATATGTATGTTCATACGTGAGTTCAAAACTGTAGCCATAAAAAGAATATAGAATTCAAGGAGGTATCAATTAGTAACCATTACATATGACAATAGCTAACTCTTACTACTACTTTCGCAAGCAAAACATTTAACAATTTGAATACACGTGAAGGATTCTATATACTGAGATTCTTCATCAGTTTTGTCAGCATTTCACTGAAATTGCTAATAAAAAGGTACTACATAAACTAAAAAGTAAATCACATTTCAAATTCTTTTGGATTAACAAGCATAGCACTATTGCTAAAAAAATTAAGGAAAAATGCAAGAATTCACAAGCTGCTAACAACTCTAATTATTGCTCAACGTAGGGGGGAATATAGTTTGACTATGTAATTTACCCTCTAGTGGTCTTCTCATGGTTCCACCAATGCCCTGTGTTGAAGACAAGGATATCAGCATCCTTCCATCTATACGATGTCCAATCCATGCAGTCCAGTTTAAGAGTAGTCTTCACTTTTTTGGGTGCACCTGCAGGGGCGTGACCCTGGGGCACCAGAAATGGTGATCTGTAATACTCCACAGTACAATTGTAGTCCCAGAACTTAAACACCAGGAATCCCATATGTTTTGTGATCGGGTTGCCATTTACTTCATAGATTGAGCTCTTGTTTGAAACAGCAGCAGAAAGCATGCAGAGGAGAGACTCCCACTGATTTCTTCCAATTGAATCACCTACAAAAACCAGCCTTCTGTTCCTCAACTTCTCCAGCATCTTTTTGGCATCAAATCTGATCCAACGATAGAAAAAAAAAAAAAGGATTTATAGGAACAATTAATTAATTCATTACGGTTCCAATATTAATTCCCTGTAGCTTTTTTTTGTATAAATAAATAAAAAAATTCTAGTTAAAATAATTATAAGACGTATAGAAACTCCCTATATAGTTCACAAAAATCCAAGAATCATATTAAAATAGTTCAGTTTCAGAACTAAATGAAATTGAACATTTGACCATGATGCTACTCTTCCCGGATGTGTTTTAGAAATCCAGGAACAATACTTATTTTCCAACTGTTAAAACATTTCCATAAATTCCTGCTTAAAATATGTAGAAAAGGAAACCTTTATTTATCCCTTTTCCTTTCCTTTTTGCTGTATTTTATTTTTTGGTAAAAAATGGCAAAATCTAAATAACAAAATTCACAATTAAAAGTGAGCAAAAGATATTACAAAGATAAAATTAGATAAAATGGAAAATAATAAGAAAAAGCTTAGGGATTATAAAATGTTAAAATTGCAAAACCTGCATAACCAGAAAAAAAAAAAAAGGAAACTAAAAGATATTATAATATTTTAAACCGGATGTAGGGAAGGATCACGCAGCTGTTGATTATTAAGTGTTCCTGTTAACTGCAAACCGTTGGTCAATATTTTCTGAACAACAATGTCCTAAAAATAATAATAATAAATGAAACCCGCTGATAGAATGGAAAGAAGCATCCCCTTTCCTCGGGATTACGATAGATAACCATATTTTCTTCCGACAGGGGAAGAAAAACGATTGACAAAATATCAAAAATCACACTGATCTATGCACTTGACTCAATATTCCGACAGAAAAATGCAACATCAGAAAAACAAACCGAATGAACATGACGAGATTAGGTTTCCTAACACCAAAAGCAGTTTTGAAAATTTACGGATTACTGGATTCCAATATTAAGCTTCCTGAAAATTATTCAGGTGGCGGTAAATTAGAAGATGCCTATAAATAGCAGAAAGAAGGCAAATCATATTATATAGATATATGTATAGGAAGAAGACTAGAGAGATCTTTTAACTAAAGCAACGATGCACAGGTAAGACGAAAAGAATCCATCCTATACTTGCTTTCAGAACACACAGAGAAGAGAAGCTGAAACTTTTAGACTATAGAAGCAAGGATCGATTCCAAAAGATTTTTTTATTATTTTTCTCTAAACCAAAGGAAAAACAAACAAACGATCATATGTTTTAGAACAGCAAAAAGTAGTAAAAGAAAAGCGCGAGTGAGACCTGGGGAGATCACAGCCGGCGGGCTGCCACCGCCACTTAGTGTACATCCGGTCAGGCCTCCCGTTCTCGGAGCAGCGGAAACCGTCGTCCAAGAAGGGACAGCCGTCCGACTCGTACAACGGATACCGTTCGTCCCATACCCACTGGCCCTCGAACCAATCGCAAACCACGCCATCCGTCTCCGCCGCTCCCGGAACCCAACTCCCCCGTCCGCCGCCAGCCGGCAGGCGCTGCCACGCCACGCGGACGAGGCCTTGGTAGTCGTAGTGCACGAGGAAGAGGAGGGCGACGGTGAGGACGAGCAGGCCCAGGGCGCCGGCGTGATCGAAGGGCTTCATCCGCCTCTGCAACCGCCGCAGCCTATGCTTCTCTTTGCGAGGAATGCGGAGACAGCGAAGAGAAGTGGGACGACGCGCCCGAGCTGGCGACCACCATGACTCGTTGGTTCACCAAAGAGGGATCGTCGGCTTCGGAAGCAGGGAAGGTATTTTCCGGCGGGAAGAAGGCATGGGTGGGGGAATGAGAAGAAAAAGGAAGGAACAGGGGAGGAAGAACGAGCGGAAGAGACGCGATGGAAGAGGAAGGAATATAATTAACCATAGTCGTGATTTCTATTATGGGAACGCGGGGGGATACTCTGAATGGGACCCAGAAGAAGTTAAAACAAAAAGATTGTAGTTCTTCGACACAGTCCCGTAGCAGCAGCGACTTCTTCTTTCAGTCCATTAAACTATTGATTTTCCTTTTTTTCTTCTGCTTCATTTAAAAAACAACATGACGTGGCCGATTTTAATCATATCAAATAACATCTCGCTTCGGTCACGATAACGGGCCCCACCAACAGAACGGCCTCCTTACGGTTGTTGCCAACCGTCAATAATCTTTCACGCACAGTTGGACTTAGAATTTTTAATGTTTATTCATTTGATAAACTTCCTAGAAAAATACTTAGTTTTTACTCTCTTTTATTTCGTAACATTTTTTTTTATTCTGACATAGCACCCCTTATTTTTTTTAAAAAATTAATATTATCTTTGATTTTTATCCTTTTGATCAATCACTTTTTTTTTTTATTCTCCCATCACCTCTTGTAATTCTCAAACTTGTATTTTAGGGCATATGATCAAGTCTCTCTATAACGATAAAGAAGATGATATTATTGTCATCGATGATGACATCCAAATTCTTTGAGAGGATAAGTACAAATAACATCGATGTGATGGAAGTGCTAAATAACGATGTGAGTGTTAAGGGAATGTGAATAGCGAAAGATAGAGGCAACCTCGAAGAGGGAGAAGTTATCCTCTTCACGGAGATAATGATTTGAACAAAAAAATAATGTAAAAGAAAGTTAAAGAGATAGATGAAAAAGGCGATGATGTTGACGATAGCGAAAATATGAGAGATCGAGAAGGTAAAGTCAGATAGAGGAGTGGACTTTCTCATACCATTATTGCATGAGGACAACGAGAGAACTGACAAAAAAAGATGAAAAAAGATATTATTGGTATGTCATATCAAGAGAGATAGAGTATCAAAGACCCTAATGATGAAGGTCATGGATAGTTGACGTGCTCCACTACAAGCGAGGGTAAAGCAAAGCTTTGCTTAAAAAATAAAAAACTTGAGATTTTTTTATAATTTTTTCATATTCATTAATTTAATTTTTTCAAATTAATTTAACTTTTTTTATCATAAAATATTTTTTAATCCAAAAATAGACCAAAATTTTATTTCAAAAAATAAAGCAATAAAAAATAGTTAAAAACAATATGAAGTTTCTTTCCACAAAGCAAACAAACATATGATACAGTAACTCTCACTTGGTATAATATTATTAAAAAATATATACAAAAGATTAAAAACAATGGAAATCGCTGGCCATATGTTGCTTAAATAAGCATTAAATCTTTATTGTGGAACGAAACTCTTAGACAAATCCCGAAAGAACACATCTCAAACGTCCTTATGACGAGACTAATCTCAAAAGATCCTAATATGGATCACATAAATGACTTATAAACGAATCACAATTAGACTGTATCGTAATTAGACAGAAATTTGGAACAGTTTCGATCCATTTTGGTACGTATAATGCTGAATAAATGTCAAAAGAGACAGATTAATCACGGTATTTTATACAAACATCACACCATCATAAAAAATAAAATAGCAGCTCAAAAACGGGTTAATTACTATAATAACCGATTAAAAATGACTGACTTATAAGAACAATATCTATTTTATAATGATTTTGATTATTATAAGATTTGTAAAAATATTTTGTTTTTATGAACCAACCAACCTGAGAACCACTGTTCAAGAGTTAAATTATAAGAAATAAGTTAATCTTATACTCACCTGTGCGAGAAAAATAGGATGAAAAATAAGTTAAAAAACCTTTCAGCGGTATTTTGGATATATTTTAAGAAAGCGACGTTACAGTATAAAAACAGAGGGCGAATTCCTGAATATGGATTTTTTCTTTTTTTTTTGTTTGTTTTTTTCAGAGAAGTCTTCGTCTTTTTCAGAATTCCAAAACAGCATATTTTTTTCTCTTAATATATGAAATACTATCAACCATCTATTTCTTTTCTCTCTGTTTTCTTCCTTTTTTTTTTTTTTTCTATAGACTAGTTCAAGGGGCTAAAAATATTATAATACAGTAAAGACAATGTGTTGCAATGTTTTTATATTGCATTATATTATTTTTCTATTATTACGAAAAATAAATAAATATTATGTTATAATATTGTTTAATATGCTACAATGTTATCCTAATTTTGTTGAAAAATACCACAACATAGTAACAAAATACTATAAATATTATTTTTTATAAAATTTATAAAAATATATTATGTTTTAGTGTTCATGTGGTACTAATGAAAACTAACGCTGTGTAAAAAGATTATAAATATAATTAGATCAGTTCATCCTGCGGACTGGTCCATATGAAAAGGGATGAAAAATAATATTCGAGGTATTAGGTAGAAAATATTATGTTATTTCAAATTTTTAAAATTTGAAAAAAATATAGAAAACTTTTAAATATATATATATAGGATCAAGAGCACTAAGAGCGGGGTGGGGGGGGGGGGGGGGGGGGGGGGTGAATTAGTGCAGCGGAAAACTTTCGACGATTAAAACTACGTTCGTACGTTGAAATCCGATTCCGACGTGTTAGGATCGGAGCGGTACTAAGAGGGGGGGGGGGTGAATTAGTGCAGCGGATTAAAACTCGTAAGTTTGAAAACAAATTCGTAAATTCGAGGAGATTTCATTTTGATAGTAACTTGAGTAAAATGAGAAAATGAAATCCGAAAGCTAGCAGTAGTGTAGATTACAATTTCAGGAAGGTAAATACTCACACATTCAAGGAACACACCAATTTAAAGTGGTTCGGTCAAAATGATCTACATCCACTTGCGAAGTCTTCTTCAATGAGGCTCCCAACTTCTACTAGCAAATCACTTTGAAGGGGAAGGACAAATACCCCTCTTACAACCTTTTTACAAATGGTTCACACTCTTACAAATCTTCAACGAAAAGGAAGGAGGTGAACACTCAAGCAATTGAAAACAAGGCTTGCCAAAAACTTTACAATAGCTTTTATCTCAATCTAATGCTTCTCAAAGGTTGTGTTCTTTGCTGAGAATTGAGGGGTATTTATAAGCCCCAAGAGGATTCAAATTTGGGCTCCAAATTTTGAATTCTCTTGGGTTCCCGAGGCTGGCGGTGCCACCGCCCAACCTCTCGGGTGCTAGGCGGTGCCACCGCTCAGTCCAACGGTGCCACCACTCAGTTCTCGGGTTCTGGGCGGTGCCACCGCCTAATTTGGCGTTGCCACCGCCTACACTATTTCAGCTCACTGGTTGGGCTCCAAACTTAGCCCAAACCAGTCCGAACTCGAGCCCAATTGGTCCCTACTTAGGTTATAGGATTAACACCTAATCCTAACCCTAATTAACGTGTTAACTACGAATTTAAAGATATTTCCTAAGCTATTACAAAGTCCGCAAGTCAAGACTTTTTCCGGTGAGCTTCCGGCGAACTTTCGGCGGTCTTCCGACGAACTCTCGGAAACCATTCTACGGACTCCCGGCAAGCTCCTAGACTTCACGATTTGATCTTGGCAAGTTCCAACGAGCTTCTTTGGCAAGCTCCGACCTTTCTCGGTGAGCTCCGCAAACTTCCAACGAACCTTTCGGCGAGCTTCCGAAAAACCCTTCGGCAAGCTCCCTACTCATTCTCGGCTAGTTCCGGCAGCATTCCCGACGAACCTTCGGACTTCCGTCGAACTCTCGAACTCGCAACAAATCCTTCGCTTTTGACTCCGACACTTTGTTTCGCTTTATGTCTTTGTCATTATCGTAGTTAATCCTGCACACACAAGTCAAAACTCTACTCCGATCTAGACAATTATTACAACGCGAATTGACATTCTATTGCCCGACATGTCATTGGTTGGCGCTTCGTTTGATTTTTCAGCGCATCGTCCTCTCTTGTGGCTTGTTGCCCAATCGGCGGTTGACCTCCGCAACCCCAATATCCTTGGCGCAATTTCGCTCTTGGCATGATGCCCGACGTTCGAAGCCTTCTGCCATCCAATATCCTAACGTGATCTCCTCCGGCGCAAAGTCAATTCCTCCTACGTTAACTGTCTAATCCTGATCGAGTAGACCTGCATCACTCAAAATGCAGTTAAACATCTAAACACAATCAATTAGTTTCATCATCAAAATCCGAGATTCAACAATCTCCCCCTTTTTTATGATGACAACTAATTGATGACTAACGGAGTTAACCTTAACTCCCCGGAGTTTAACCAAACTCCCCCTATCAATATGCCATTGATAGAACACTTGGATTATCCCAAATCCAAGTAACATTCATCACATGTTATGAAAAATATTTAAATCATCATGCAAATATATATATAATATTCAATTCAATGCATGAAGTCATCAATATGCTTCTCCCCCTATGTCATCAACAAAAAGGAGAAGTAGCTCTAGCTATTTTAAAAGATATTCAAGTTTCTGTAACATGAAGCTAGATTTTCATCACAACATATAAGCACAAAAGCATACAAGATTCTTAAGTACAATCATGGCAATTCAACACTTGAATTTTTGTGCAAGATTGCACTTTACTTTTCTTTGCAAGTAACAATATTTGTGATGTTTATAGCAAATTTCTTCGTTACAATGATCGAGCTAGCAAATTCTTCATTCAAGTGTACAAGCTAGCAATAACTTTATCCCCCTTTATCAATGTCAAAAAGAAGGAGAGGAACCAATGATTTAGACTTTTACATCAACTTTGCATCAATCAATATTTCAATCATCACATGATGCATACAAGACAATAATGCAAAGAAATTATTTCATGAAGGATATCAATGTGAAAATTCACCAAGGATCACATGATACAATCGCAAATCATGATATCATTATGCGACACATCATGAGATGATAATTTATCATATCAATGAAAGACATCAATTGTTAAACATGATATGATAATAGTCTCAAAATTTTCAATTTGCGATACATGTGATAC